AGCAAAGCAATAAAGCCACTAAGACTAAGTGTGAGAGAATGTCATAAAAAGAAAACATTGTTAGAGAGAGAGAGAGAGAGAGAGAGAGAGAGAGAGAGCAATAAAATAACAGGAATTAAGAAAACAGAAGATAACGATTGACATTGCATTTTCATTTTTGAAGATCAAAGCTGACTGGAAAGCAAGAAGTCGAAAGAGAGTTTCACAAGTGATAATTACGAGAAAAAATTTAGCAAAGAGCTCACGGTTACAACTAGCCATGTCAATTGTAAAATGATAAGACCAAACCGCCAATCTAGTACTGCACTTACATTCATGGAGTGTAAATATCCTAGCCCAAACTTTTTTTTATCCCTTGCGTAACCCTTACAATAAGGAACCCCTGCGCAAAAACAAAATTATATACCATATCTTTCTCATTTTATTTTCATCGTAGTTCACGTGGTAAATATCATAGGATATATTTTTTGAATAACTAGTTTAAGGAAAAACTAATACTTCTTTGTCAAATTGTTCGTTAATGTTAAATAAAAATCATACTATTTGTTTATAATACTTTATCAGGGAGTTTTTATTCACACAAAAAATTCTAAACTCAAACATAAAAAATAAATGTTGTGGTACGATCCACCTAATTTACATAGTGGAGTACCGACCATATAAATATGGTTGGTACCGGGAAGACGAGGGAGGTAACAAGAGATCCAATCCAGAGACTCTGCCCGACTGCGATTAAGTCAACCCATTCTACAGGAACAGTCTTCCCAAGAATATACCAAACTAACTGTAAATATTGTGTACCTTTTCCTTGTTTCAATACATTTTGTTTACGTACATTTTGTGTTGTATTATTATTATTCCATGCTTATCCAAGCTTCAACAATAAACATAAGTAATCAATATTATATACTTATAATATAAATGTAAACAGAATGTAAACAGTAATATTATGTATATGAAATTAAATAAAAAGTCAAAAGTGTATTAGCTTATCGCATTTGTTCTCGCAGAACCCTTGGGGACCTTTTACAGATCCTTAAGGTTCCGAAAAACCTCGGTTGAGAAACGCTACCCTAGAGAAAAGTTCCTCAAAACAGTTACCATGAACATTATTTACATTATTCGGACTATTGTCCTCATCTTTGTCGTCATATTTATCACAACGTTTCGGCCGTTGTACGCTCCGGCCTTCTTCAGGTGGTTGGAATTTCGAACTGAACCCTTTATTTCGCTCACCGGAGTAGACTGTTCTAGTTCCACGTGCCATATTTGATGGATGTCAGTTATCAGTTATCTCCTGTTAATTCCCCTCTCCAAGTTCTCCACTGCCTTAACCGGGTATTAAACTCACTCTTTGAGTCGTGTTACTGGATCTAACCAACGCCTTTATCCACGGTGCCATGTGTCCTTGAGGACACATGTCACAGTGGATAAAGCACATGGCACAGTGGATAATTCAGAGTCTTAGACAGACTCTGAATTACCATGAAGATATGAGTCGAAAAGGATATGGACAGAGATATACAACTATAAGTCTGATCGGTTCGATAAAGTCAAATTAACAACTGGTGTCAAAATGATCTACATTAACTGGGGCAAGGAATGGCATATATTTAAAACCGGGTTCAATACAAAGTAGAGCGAAATTATTTATTTTAGCATATTACATCGAAAACATGTCAAAATCGCTACACAATTTCAGTTTTATTTCGCTTGAGAATCAGTGTATCTCATCACGCTATTGTAAATTACTGGCGAGTGAACGAGTTATCTAGTAATTTCCAATCGCCTGATGAGATGTATTGATTCGCATCGAAACACGCTGCAGTTGTGTATCGATTTGGACATGTTGTCAATGTAATGTATATATATATATATATATATATATATATATATATATATATATATATATATATATATATATATATATATATATATATATATATATATATATATATATATATATATATATATATATATATAAATGTTGCTCCTTTTCCTTATGTTCAGGTGAATTTAAATCGCTGCATAATTCCTAATTTTACAGCATGAATGAAATTTTCTATGAAGAAAAAATAGCTGAAATATATTTAACCAACCAGGTGAAGAAAAGAATTAATTCAAATCATGTTCTGCTTAGATTAGCACAGTTCCAATCATTTTTGTTGAAGAAAGACAAAATAGACAATATAGAACGAGAAAGAACAAATTGATTGTTCTGATAACCAGAATGGAATAACGATAGCAACGTAATTTACAATAGAAACCAATATATATATATATATATATGTTTAACGTTGTTATTTTATAGATACAAGTATTTAAGCAAATGCTCTGTTTATGATAAACAGTATTAAATAACATTTACCGGCCTGAATGTCCGAGAAATTTTCATAGAAAATATTCGTTCATAGACAGGATTCGAACCTGCATCCTATACGGAACCGTCATATACGCTGACGTGCCTTAACCACTCGGCCACCATGAACCTTATGGTAGACAAGGTCGAATTTACTGTTATAAACTACAATCTTCCATGAATCTCGTACATTCATAACTGCTCTGGCGTATCGAATGTAAACAAATGACGTCATATGTTAAGAAACGGAACCGTCATATACGCTGACGTGCCTTAAGGCACGTCAGCGTATATGATGCAGGTTCGAATCCTGTCTATGAACGAATATTTTCTATGAAAATTTCTCGGACATTCAGGCCGGTAAATGTTATTTAATACTGTTTATCATAAACAGAGCATTTGCTTAAATACTTGTATCTATAAAATAACAACGTTAAACATAAATAAAAATGTCTTTAATAAATAAATTGTCGGACCTCGTCCATTTCTTAACATATGACGTCATTTGTTTACATTCGATACGCCAGAGCAGTTATGAATGTACGAGATTCATGGAAGATTGTAGTTTATAACAGTAAATTCGACCTTGTCTACCATAAGGTTCATGGTGGCCGAGTGGTTAAGGCACGTCAGCGTATATGACGGTTCCGTATAGGATGCAGGTTCGAATCCTGTCTATGAACGAATATTTTCTATGAAAATTTCTCGGACATTCAGGCCGGTAAATGTTATTTAATACTGTTTATCATAAACAGAGCATTTGCTTAAATACTTGTATCTATAAAATAACAACGTTAAACATAAATAAAAATGTCTTTAATAAATAAATTGTCGGACCTCGTCCATTTCTTAACATATATATATATATGGGTAAGAAGCAGTCCTGAGAAAGAACAAATGCATTAGCGTTTCTCTTTGGCAATTGTGAACGGAAGAGTAACATTTTTAGAAAATGAATGTAGCTAAAAGATGAGAGCAAAATTAACAAGAGAGAACCTAAAAGAAGCTACGATTTAGAATAATTCAGCCCAATGACGCAAAATATCTGAAGAAAAATAAACACAAAATTGATTTGGAAAATAATTAGAAAGTAATGAAAAAATAATATTAAGGAATATAGATTCAATGAAAAAAAACGAATAAAGTGAAACTTGCAACAAAAAAGAAGCGAGGAAGAAAAAATAAATCTGATGTCAGTATTTCAAACACAACAAAATGACAAAAATTTAGAAATAAAACTGCATATTCGAGGATGGCTACACAGAAATACATTTCCTCTTCTACTTCTTTCCCCAACTTACAACCTTTGAACAACCCTGTTGTGATGTAGCAAGTAAAATGCCCAAACAAAAACTGCCAAGAGACACACCTCAGAAAAGAAAAGGAGCCAAAAGGTGGATAACGACAAAATCACCCAATCAAGAGAGAGTGTAAAAAGTTACTAACTGCATGAGTTCAATGTATTGTTGCTACCATATTTGGGCTGGATTGCCTAGTTCTCACAATCAAACCTTGATTGGGTTCAAAAGTGTTTACGAGGCTTTGTGGGTGATGAATTATTTTCTACTCCGCAGCACCTTTCCAGCAGATGAAACGCTGCATGCCTCTCGCAAATCTACGCTATTTCCATGGCAAATGTTCAGACGAGTTACATTATTAATTCCACCATTTTAGAAAGATAGGACTCACCATGTCATGTACACAGACACAACTTATTTTAGTTGATCAGCCACAGAGCAGACCCGAGTTTTACTATGAGAAGATGAGTCGCGCACATGTTACTGAAATTGAAAAATAATTCATATACACTTGTCGGGAGGTGAGTAAAACTAATTTCATCATGGTTCTATAGTGGCTCAAAATCAATATATTTTCCTTCTATTTCGCATGCGTTTCTCTTTTCCAGGGTATCAGTCGGGAAACAAGGCAAGTAAGACCGGTTATGAGTGAAATACAAGTGAAAATCAGGTGCAAGCCGCAACATTGTGACTTAGTATTGAGTAAGAATAATAATCTCAATAATTCAATACATCGAAGTACGAGGTCTGATCAAAAAGTATCGGGACTATTGCTATGGTAACGGAGCTAAAAATACGTAGATTAAAGCCACTGTCGCGCATACACAGTAACGTTCTCGCTTACTTCCGTTGTTTATAGCAATGCTTGGTAGGAAAATGTGTAGAGTGTGGTGGTTTTACCACACCACAAAGTTTCCATCAGTGACCATAGCTTGTGCAGCAGTTTCTGGTGAAAAACAACATTTCTCAGGTATGTACGATAAACCATATTCCTCAGATGTCGCCCTTTACGACTTTTTTCCTCTTTTAAAATCAAATCCAACTTGAAATAAACAAGATTTGAAGACATCGAGGCAATCAAATAGAATTCGACGAGGCAGCTGCTCGCAATCCAAGAAAAGGATAAAGTTGATGGCTTTAGAAGGAAATTAAATGCCGAATTGACATTCTTATAAGATCAGTTCAGTTACATTTTGTTCAGACCTTGTGTAACAAGCTAGAGATGTTGAATTCTGGTTTGAATGTTACTGCTAGAAAGTGACTTGGACTATTTCAAGTTGTAGTTTTCTGCGGACAAGGATTCAAATCATTCATCCAAGACGGATCATAATAGTGGAAAGTTAATGACTTCTAATGTTACAAATACAATATTCATATCTGAACATATAACTTTTGTCAATGGTATAACAAAAGTCAACAATGAAACTCCGTCTCTCTGTCTATCACTCTGTTCACATCTATCTATCTATCTATCTATCTATCTATCTATCTATCTATCTATCTATCTATCCCAGTCTCTTTCTTCCTTTCCTTCTATCTATCTATCTATCTATCTATCTATCTATCTATCTATCTATCTATCCCAGTCTCTTTCTTCCTTTCTATCTATCTATCTATCTATCTATCTATCCCAGTCTCTTTCTTCCTTTCCTTCTATCTATCTATCTATCTATCTATCTATCTATCTATCTATCTATCTATGTTTCTTTGTTCTTATCTATCTATTGATCTAAGTTTTTTTTATCAGTTTTTGTTCTTAACTAAGTTTTTTGTTATCTATCTATCTATCTATCTATCTATCTATCTATCTATCTATCCCACTCTCTTTCTTCCTTTCCTTCTATCTATCTATCTATGTCAGTCTGTTCATATCTATCTATCTATCTATCTATCTATCTATCTATCTATCTATCTATCTATCTATGTTTCTTTGTTCTTATTTATCTATCTATTGATCTACGTTTTTTATCTGTTTTTGTTCTTATCTACGTTTGTTCGTTCTTATCTATCTATCTATCTATCTATCTATCTATCTATCTATCTATGCACTGCCGGAGGGGACTAGGATATGCTGATTGTATGCCCAGCACTGGGGTAAGACCCCACTCTCCAAAAAGGAGCCACTTGACCAATGTTCACACAGTCTTATGTATAAACCCGACATATAACAAAAACAGATTTCGTATTAACTCAACAAGATTGATATGAGATTGATTGAAATACTATTAAAATCTACCAACCAAACTCAAGCCAATCTGCCAATCTATCTATCTATCTATCTATCTATCTATCTATCTATCTATCTATGTTCTTATTTATCTATCTATTGATCTACGTTGTTTTATTTTTTTGTTCTTATCTATGTTTGTTTGTTCTTATCTATCTATCTATCTATCTATCTATCTATCTATCTATCTATCTATCTATCTATCTATCTATCACAGTTCGTTCAGTATCTATCTATTTATCTAGATATCTATTTATTTATCTATAGAATTAATTGATTTCTTGTAACTTTGGATGGATGCGATGTCTCTCTTTGAATTCGGAACTAACGTTGATTCAACAAGTCGAATGCACGTGAAACATGGTTAACCAATGAAAATCTAACACAAAATAAAAATACCAGATTTTCTTTCTTCTTTTCTTTTTATCCATATTTCATTCTCTGATGAGATTTTAATAAAAGGAAAACATGTTAGATTGATAAACGTTTCCAATTTATTCTATCATTCTGTCGGATGCCAATCCATATTTGATACCAACGTATCTATCTATCTATCTATCTATCTATCTATCTATCTATCTATCTATCTATCTTAGTTTAGCGACGTAAATCTGTTTCCTTTTGTTTATGTATATGTCAATTTGCGACCATTTCAAGAGCGGATATTAAAATACAGTTGCATACATGTTGTCTATCAGTCTTTATATATATATATATATATATATATGTGTGTGTGTGTGTGTGTGTGTGTGTGTGTGCGCGCGCGCATGTGTGTGTTAATTTTATGGATATTAAATCTGTGATACATTCGAATTATTTCAACGAAATAATGTCTGGCATTTTTTGCCAGATTGCAATTTACTTTCTTCACGAAAATTAAGCACGCGTCATCGCCTCATCATGGCGGCGACATTCATTGCAAACGATGACAGGCCACGGTTGCGTTTTTAATTTTTGTTTGTTTTTCGCTTCTGTTTGATTTATTTTGATTTCATACGAAACGACTGTCGGCAAATAATCAAAATTTGTTAATTTCACACACACACACACACACACACACACACACACACACACACACACACACACACACACACACACACACATTCATCACTAAAAATTAATCGAAGATTTTGTTTATCGTGTCTCGCTTAAATTTAAAGGCCGACGAAGGTAGCCCTTAAGCCCGATGTGACGTCAGTTTCTTTTGAGTCATAAATAATTTCCATTTTTGTTTATCCTTAGATACCATACGAGATGCACACTTAGGCGATCAGGTCCCATTTCGAATTTATGATTGAATTGGCAGAAGCATTCTCGCAGTAGGCTGCCGTTACTTTTTTCAGTTGACAACCAAGGCTATAGGAGCCAGTCTGCTATTTAATCCGTAGCTGGGGGGGAGAAGACATTGTAAGTGAATGTAACGAACTCTATTGGATTTCGAACTCTGCACTCCGATTTCTCATTCCGAGCCGTAATCCTTTGTTATCCAAGCTTAAAGCACCTGGTATTCCCAAGTGGTCATTCATCTAGGTACTGATCAGGCTCAACGTTGCTTAACTTCGGTGATCGGAAGAGATCCGGTGTTTCATCATCATATGCCCATAAACTTATCAACTTTATTCATAAAATGTGAAATAAACCATCTCCCTAGAGTCTGGACACATAGACAAAAATGTATATTTTCAAGTAAATGAAATTTTCAATAACACTGTATTGAATTGGAATATTAACAAATAACATCTTTAATATGATTGCTCTATTTCATGTACTTTGCAAGATTCAATGGAACTCGATGCAATAACTCTACATTGCCGTCAATTTTAGCACATTCACTCTTTATGCATTCATTCAAGTGTGTTGCATTTGTGATATTCATTGAGTACACCTTCTCCTTTAGTTTACCCCAGAAAAATGAAGCCAATTCTTTCTTCTTTCGACAAAACTGTTTAATTTACGGAGGTAAAAAAATATAGTTAATGAGATTTCTTATGTGTCTGGACTTTAGAGACATCCTGTACAATTGCATTGTATCTCTACCTATAAAAGGCAGGATGTGTGTGTGTGTGTGCGTGTGTGTGTGTGTGTGTGTGCGTGTGTGTGCGTGTGTGTGTGTGTATAACGAATGCACGGCCGCAATTTTCGACGGATTTGCACCAAAATTTACATGCACATGCTCCAAGTTAGCGGGAAGGCCAAGACCGACTTTGCATTTCCCAACTCCCATCAATAGTGGAAATAATCAATTTTTTCATGCTTCTACGGCAGTTTTCATGTAGTTTGCGGCCATTTTCTACTGTCCAGAGTGAGAGTCAATAGCTGGCTGCCACCAATAGGCAGAAAGATTCTATTGGCCAGCGTGAGAGCCAACAGCTGACTGACACGAATGTTAACTAGCATTCAAGCATGCAAAAAATAAAAATCGATAGCTGCATTCCTCACAAGTGGGAAAAATTTAAATGTGCATAGCGCTTTACTCCAGTTGGCTCATTCGCTTGCTTAAACTCAACGTTGATTCTGATTCCGCAGAACTGGGTTGGTTGTGAAAAATATTTGTTGTTAACGTTCTTTTTTCATTCGGTTTTTCCAGTTACGAGTCCTTTTTTAAAGCTGATCGTTTTGTGTTCATTTTGTTTAGTTCTTTTTTCGTAATAGATTTAATGTTTAGTATAGAGTTTAGTAAAAATTCGCAGTGTGAGATGGGCAAGAAGTAAGGCATGTAGCAACATCAGCACGGCAAAGGGCACTCCTTTAAAGGCAAGGAAGGGTAAAAATATTTTAAGTCAAGTGATAGCGATTGTTGGATGAGTCGTACGATTTTTGAATCAAGCACGGGCAACGCCAGGTCATGCAGCTAGTTCAGTTATATATCAACCATTATTTGCTGTGACTTGTTACCACTTACCTGGCAACTTTTTTAAAAATATATTTTGAGTAAAATTCCGTATGTTTTGATGGGAAAATCAATTCGACGAACTCTTACGTTTGGTTTTCATTAGCGAAAGTGTTCCCAATAAACGCGTTGAATTCGATGAGAATTTCCGATCACAGCATTCAGCCTTATCAGCTGAGGAAGTCAGTACCTCAAATTGATTGAATAGAGGAGGTATTGAAGATTTGCTGTTGTTCAGCACGCTCTTGCGGAGCCGCCAATAATCTCTAGAACTAAACTCACGACAGTATTGAAGAGAGACAGACGGAGACACACCATATATGGATGGTCGGGAGATTCAAGAGAGAGTTCCCTAGACTGTGGGAGATGGTCGCGGGCGTAAACTCCCAGGTCATACATGCGGATTTTAGAGTCCTTTCTAAAGAGTAAAGAGAGGGAGGTAACCAAGGGTTCGAGAAATCAAAGGAGGGGTTTGATGAGTTAAGGTTGTTTTCACAGAGCTAGTATATCAGACGACTTTTCCCAGAGGAACGATTCAACACTGCAGATGTTGGACCGAAAGCCACGGACGTTGGAAAAGAAAATGTTGAAAGGTTTAGGCGATTTTTTTAGAGCTGGTTTAAGTTTTATATATGTGATGGTTTATGGTCATTTTGAGTCATGTTGGTAGCGAAAAGGCCTAAAGTAATAGTAGCAGAAGCGCATCAAATGTGACATGGACAGAAAGGAGCTGGCGCAGACTGCAACGTAAATTGGCCTCAGGGGTCGCCCACCGGAGCTACGTGCAGGGAGACGCTTTTCCTACGCGACATGGCATTGCAAGCACCCCGATATTATGCAACTGTTGATCAGAACAACCGCTCAAGACGCTACGCAAGAGTTAGGACTCTTAACTACCAGTCGGAAACAGCAACCAGAAAACTGTCAGCTCGGTACCCTCAGTATGAAGAGATGTTGCCACAGACCGTACACGTTACAAGAGATTCACCATATTATTATTACGGAGGCCAGAGAAAAAGAAAAGATCCGGCGACCCCTTCCTAAACAGGAAACAAGGGATGAGCCTCTCTACCTGTTAAAGAGAAGCGGGGAGTATTGACTGGGCGATAGGCAAGCCTATCTACTCCAATTACACACACACACACACACACACACACACACACACACCACCACCACCACCACCACCACCACCAACAACAACAACAACGGCAAAAACAGCAGAGACAAATACTTAGGATACGAGAAGTCAGTGAAAAACGTGCGTAGCACACAGAGTTGAAACCTAAATACAAAGTTTCAACTTAGTTTAAGTGCCATCATACACTTGTTGTATAAGAACAGTCCACGTTTGTTACCTGGAAATCATATAAGGTCCATTTAGCAGAGAGAGAGAGAGAGAGAGAGAGAGAGAGAGAGAGAGAGAGAGAGTGTGTGAGTGTGTGTGTGAGAGAGTGAGAGAGAAATAAATAAAAATAAATAAACAATTCAAAGAACTAATAGCCAAAGTTTTCGAAAAGCGGAAGTCTAAATTCGCTTCTATTAATAGTGAAAAAAGAAATGAAGAAAAAATGGTAGAATGGATGTCATTTCATCAAGAAATTGTACCAAAAATTAGGAAAAAAAAATGGAGAATAGGATTAGCGGGTGAAATTCAAAGATGTACATACAATGAAGACGAACGACGATATGTTTTTTCAAGCGAGGTTAGTCAAACGAATGTAAGGCAAGAAATAAATCACATGACATCCATTTGCAGGACGAGAGAGAGAGAGAGAGAGAGAGAGAGAGAGAGAGAGAGAGAGAGTGGGAGAGAGAGAGAGAGACAGAGAGAGTTCAAAGAACTAATATTCAAAGTTTTCGAAAAGGGAGAACACTAAATTCGCTTCCATTAATAGTGAAAAATATAAATAAATAATAAAAAAAGACGAAGAAAAACATGGTAGAATGGATGTCATTACATCAAGAAATGGTACCAACAATTAAAAAAAAAGTGGAGAAAGAATTAGGGGGTGAAACACATTGCAGCTGCTGGTTGTATAAATGTGCATTTAGTGTTTCGTTGTGTTTTAATAACTCTAACTTAGGTACTTCCACTAATTCGGTATAATTTTTCGATATTTAAGGTTTAAAATAAATTTTTAAAAATGAATAAGCATTCTTGAAGAATTCATTTTAACTTTAATTGAAAGCTAAATGATTAAATTTATTATTTCCAGTAAGTAAAATATTCTGGTGTATTTCAAATAAAAATTATATAGATCGGAATGTCAATTATTTGCTCGCTTTCACAAAGCGGCCATTTTGCACATTTTAAGACGTCTGTAAACAAAATTTAATTATATGTTTTAACAAGCTTCCAAAAACAAAATATATATATATTTGTGACACGTTATTTAAGGAAAATTAGCAAATTTAGTTAAATCAATCTGACTTGAAACAAATATTACTTACTTATAGTATACAAGTAGTATACATGCATTTCTTAACCACGAGTCTTGTTTCTTTCTGTGGTGTTGATTGATGTATTTGACGGGCTAAGATGACGGCAGTTAAGTATGGATGACCATAATTGACATAAATTTACGAAATCTAATTGAATCTATTTTTTTTGTTTTTAACTACCTAGTAATTTTTACAAATTAACATTATATTTTCATCAATTATTTAATATTTAATTGAGGTTTAGTTACTATAGTGTTATTGATTTATGTTTGAAGATGCTTTTTGAAAAAATAATAATATCTAAAATACTATAAAAAAGAATAAACTGGAAAAAAAAAAAATCTACGAACAAAAACAAAAATCTTCTGTTGTTTCTTTTTTAAAAAAAGTTAAATGGAATTTAATTGAAGTATGATATATTACCTAAAAGAAAGTAAGTAATTAAAATTTTTAAAATGAAAAATATTCCTGTAAAAATTCATTATTCATTGAAAAAAAAACGTTTTCTTTAAGACAATAATGTCCTTCATAAATCTTATTTATAGAAGCAATTAAAAACTTCTCTAATTAAATAATATAGTTTTATTGCATTTTTTAGTTTACCATTCGGAGCAGATTTTCAGAAAAACAGCAGCAGTTTGAAAAACAATGATTTACATTCTCCAAGAAGTCCTACTTTTAATTTTAAAGAAACGATTGATATAATTATAAGAAATATATACAATAATACATTTCTCCCGACATTAAAAATTAGACCCAGCATACTTCGGAAACTACTTTTAACCTGTACTACTGAAGTTTCATTTATTTACCACAAAAACAGTATATATGTATAACGTGACGGTGTTTTTATGGGTTCAGTTCAGAGTCCAACTTTTAGTAACTTTTTTTATAGCTAACCTCGAAAATAATACGTTTAATATTTAAAAAAAAACCCTCCATCTACCTAAGATATGGTGATGCTGTCCTAATATTTGTAAAAAAACCATTGATGAAATACACGAACTACAAAAAGAATTAAAACTCTGTCCTTAAATTCACATATAGACTTAATAATAATAATAATAATAATAATAATAATAATAATAATAATAATCTTGTATCAGGTTGCACGATATTGGCACACACTGAATATAAAACCCGGCATGACAGAGTGGGCCAATATCTGCACTGGAAAATATGCAACTTCTACGAGAAGGAAACTGAAAGAAACTGGTATGAACACCACCCAGACCCGGTTACGGAGATAGGACCTGTTACAATTCTATGGGACTACACAATACACATTGACAGAACAATCAAAGCCAACCGTCCAGACATTGTTATTAGAAACCACAAACAAAAAAGTGCCTCCTTATTGATTTGGCAGCCCCTGGTGACTGCAATGTATCTTTGAAGATATTCAAAAAGCTATCAAAATACAAGGACCTTGAAATAAAAATCTCAAAAATGTGTCACATGGGAACATCAACAATCCCTGTTGTAGTTGGAGCCCTAGGATTGGTTGGAAAAGATTCCAGTAGACTAATTGAAGGGATTCCTGGAAGTCCATGCCTCAAGGAGATAAAAAAATTGTTCTGACAAGTACAGCCCACACCTTACGAAGGGCTTTATCTATGTAATTTTTTTTTTGTCAGTGGAAAGTGTCATGATGCCATTTCTAACTTTAGGTCCCTGGGCGGGACCCGGAAAGAAATGTGTAAACGCCAGAAATCAAAGGAAATAAAAATAATAATAATAATAAAATTCGTTTCCTTGATATATTGTCACCAATAATAATAAATTCACTATCTCCCCATATTAAAAACCTACTAGCATGAACACGTGCACTCTTAATTATAAGAGCGAATGTCTTAACTCCTACAAAATAGCAATTATATAAAATTTAATACACCGTGCAAAAGTTAAAAAAGATTTTCTACACTAAACTAAAAACCATTAAAAATCTCTCATTAATTATGTCTTTCTTAACTATACTGCTGATGAACAAATAAGGTGATCTATTAGAAATTTTACTATAAATCAAATAAAACATAATACTTCCTCGAATAACCCTAAATATATATAGGTTCAGTTCGAAATTGCAATTACCCGAAGAAGGCTGGACCATACAACGGCCGGAACGTCGTCGTGAATATGGCAACAAAGATAAGGAAAACAGTCCGAACAATGAAAATAGTGTAAATAACAGCAATTACAATAACACAAACAGGCAAAATAGCAACAATAATTGTAATTTGTATTTACTCAACCCCCACTTCACGAGGTTAGCTTGTGACACAAGGTCGGTTTAATGTGGGGATCCCGAGCGTGTACACCCGGGCAGAAACAAAAATACCCCGAGCCCCTGCAACCGTTGGTTGAGCTGGTCTCGTTCCGTGCACCGATCCCTCTCTTTAGTGCACTGAGAGGATGCGGCCTTGGGCAGCTGTTCCCCAGGGCTGGGCACCTCAGTAAAATTTTCCCCAGTTGTGTCTCTGTCTTTGGGCAGAGTCGCAACTGAGAGATGATAAATAATGTGTTACAAACTACACGAGAGAGTAATTAACAATAATTGCAATTTTCGAAATAAAAACAACTGCCCACTTAATAATAAATGTCTAACTAACAATATAATATATAAAGCAACTGCATCAAAAAACATTAACACGGAAGATAGAAGTAACTGTAAGAACTTTTAAAGAAAGATTTAATAATCATAAAATGTCATTTAAAATAGACAGATATGCAAATAATACAACATTATCGAAAAAGAAATAATACACCAATTAAAATTAAATGGGAAATCACAAAAAGTACCCCAATATAATATTAATAATAGAAAATCTAGACTGTGTTCAGAAGAAAAATTTTATATAATAAATTTCAATAATCAAATTAAATTATTAAACAATGGAAATGAATTAATGGGTAAATGCAGACATTTCATTAAATATTTACTTTGCAACTTAAATACTAATATTACATAACATAAATACAGCAGAAACTAATATAAATTAAATAATAATACAATATCATATATATAAATAATACAATACATGTATATATATATATATAAACAATTAAAGATATACATACAAACAAAGAATAACGAAAAATAACAAATAACGAAAAATAAAACTTACAAAATATACAATAGAAAATATACAATTCAAAAATAATTACGTTTATGAATTGCAAAATATACAATTGAAAAACAATTACGTTTATGAGCACACATATAAACATGAACATGCGCGCGTTCATAACGGAGTTAGCAAAAAAAAAACACCCCCCCCCAAAAAAAAAACACACACAAAAAAACAAAAACAAAAAAAAAACACGCAAATACAAAATTTGGGAAAAAAACCCCGAATACAATTGGAAATATTTAATATAAGAACCAACCCCCTTGAAAACTGGTCACAGTGCCACGAAACTACGGAATCGGGGACAATTGATATATAAAATTGCAGATAATTACAGCAAGTAATTGTTTTGTATTAAAAGATCAAATTTAATTTATCTATGCTGAATTGTAAATATTGAGCACTATAGTAAACACTTTTTCATTATGAATTTAAATCTTAAGCAATATACATAAATATATATATATTTATAAATATAAAACATACAATAGGAATTAAGATTACTTCAAGGAAATGACCATTTCACCCACAAATTAAAAAGTAATTTGCAGGATTTTCAAACCCATCAGATGGAGAAGAAAAAATAAAATGAAACTGGCTTAAAAACGAATTTAAAACCAGGCAAAGCCGAAAAAAAAAGAAAGAATTAAAGGAGAAAAATCTGAACCCTCAGATTAACTGGAAATTCATAGCTTTCGCCCACAGTCCTAATAATTTTAAAGGTAGATGTAATCTGTGTCTACAAGAGAAAATTAGAATAATTAAATTCGATAATCAAAATATACTTTTAAGCCAAAGGGACGAATTAATTTCCAAGTGTCGTCACCGAAGTAAATTTAAACTGATCTAGAATGTTACTGTACTTGCATTAACTGTTATCACTTTACACATGTACTCTTACTTCTACTCTTTCTCTTTCTTATCATATAACCTTCCGATATTTTTCATTACTTATCCATGACTAGCAGTAGAGCCCGGCGTTGCCCGGGGATGTAACAGTAAGAGATAGATCAAGTATCGACCATCATAAAGAGTGAAAAATAAAATTGACAAAGATTATTGTTTAAGGTTGATGGACACGCATGTCTTAATTAGTTTTTTTTTTAGTTTTTTTATTTTTTTTTACGAATTGGTCAAACCCAAACTCAAACAAAAACATTGTTTTCAATCGTTATGAATCTACCGATTGAATAGAATTTTATTATAAACAATTGTCTTGTAAATGGAATTTTTAAAGCATTCTGAATGTAAAAATAAAGAAAAAAGTGTGCAAGACAATAAAAAACACTACCTGCCAAAAAAAAAGTGAAGTTTTGTTGAAATCGGTTGAAAAATGTAGGAAATCCGACCCCATATATAAACGAACACACACACACACACACACACAACCAAGCAAGCAACCAACCAACCTGGGTTCTATAATAAGTATAACTCGATAACTCGATATTAATAAGTATAACTCGATATGAGTTGTCCCCCTTTCATTAATGCCTCTTAATCGTGTTTTCAAATTGATTTCGTGCAAAAACAATTGTTTTCCCAATTTTTGGCGCTGTCAGAACCACCGCAAGGTAATTTTACGTAGTCCTGTGAAGTTTTGTTGAAATCGGTTGAAAAATGTAGGAAATCCGATCCAATATATAAACGTACAGACCCCCCCACACACACAATCTGCGTTTTATAATAAGTAAGATTAAAAATTTTTCTTCTCCACCCAATCACTGTCACTGCTATATGACGATCACTATTATTTTCGATATTAAGATTTTTATTGCTATTATTCCTATAGTTTTTCTTACTATAATGTTTCATTATCTTTTTATTTATCATTTATTATTTATTTATTTGTTCTTTAGAGTTATTTTTATTTTTAATTGCAAGTTTGGACTTATCACTATTACTTTATAATTATATCTTAATAAGTGATGATATTCACACTTAGTTTTTGGATATTAATGCTTTTTTTCATCTATTATATCTGTACATTTTTCTCTTTATTTTTCTATTCTTATAATTTTTCAATTTTTTTTTATTCTTATTTTATTCCTATTTGTTTTAAAAGGTTTTTAAATGTTTCTTTATGGGGTTATGGGTTTATTCTTCAACTAGAGATCTATCTATCTATCTATCTATCTATCTATCTATCTATTTATTATTATTATTATATTTTTCTCATGCATATTTGTTTCTCTATATATTTGGTTGGTGCATAATTATCAGGCGTTTCTCTAGTGAGTGATTTGTTAATAAAAATTGCTGTTTTGTTTACTTCTTTCTAATAAAAATATTATTTTATTTTCAGGTTTTAAAAATGCGTATCGATAATCATACGCTCCGGAATAATCATTTAAAAATATTATTGTTGAATTGTTATGTTTTATTTTTTATAATAAATATTATTTAGAAACGCCTGATAATTATGTACCAACCTAATACAGTGTAACCCGGATATAAGGGAGTTGTCGGGACCGGAGAAGAAGTCTCTTATATCCGGGTTTCTCTTATATCCGGGTTTGGTCTATTTTGTTTAGGTAAGTATGGGAACATTTTGGGACCAGAGAAAATCTCTCTTATATCCGGGTTTCTCTTATATCCGGGTTACACTGTATTATATAATGATAGAGTATATTGATTATATATGTAATATTTAATGATAATGAAAAAAATTGTATAATATTATAATAAGATTACATTATTATAATGATATGTAAAAAATTGAATTATAATGGCCTTAGTTATAGTTCATTTTAATACTTAATAATATTATTTATTAAAGATACTATTTAATATAATTTTAATTAAATGATATTAATGTATTGATATAATTGATAGCATCGTAGTAGTATTTAATTTAATGATTGTGTGGGTATTGATTTGATATTTTAATATATAATTTTAATATAGTGTTGATGTTGTACTGCAAAGTTTGGTGGTTACCATTTATTTAAAGGTGTTGATGGCCCAAATCAATCCATACAATTTTTGACTCTATGAATATCTTAAGCAAAAATGCAAAAACAACAAGAGAAAACAAGAAACGTTTGGGACAAAAGGTAAATATTTGATAAACAAGTAATTTTCAATATATTTTCGTAATGAAAATATTTTACAAAAATGTAGTGGATCTTTTTTTAATTGAAATCTTATTTGTTTATGTTGAACTCTAGTTTGGTGAAAGATTAAATTTTGTTAATGAGTTTTGATTTGAAAGGATGTTTGTTAGAATCTGTTATTGAAGATTCTGTAAATTAATTGCAAGAGTAAAATTTACATTTAAGAATTTACTGTTCATGTAAGTAGTAAATGCTTGTAAAGTGAATGCAATTTTGTGATCAAAGAAGTTATCTACCTTTGATTGTTTTGTGTAACACAATGTTCTCGAATGTTGAGAAATAAAGTTGATTTGTTAGTAGGAATTTGTTTAACTTCTGTGTAAGGAATTTGGTGAGTGAATGGGAATAGAGTTCACTGGTGAGTTTTGGTGAGTGAGTGTGAATATTGTTAAGTTTGTATAATGTTCGTATGGACAAAAAACTTAAGATTGTGTGACGTGAAGTTTAGTTGCAATTCGTTTGACGTCACAATGCTCACTGGCGAGTGTAAATAAGTTTCTGTTTTTATTTGCTTCGGGTGGCTCATAGAGACACTGTGCGAACTTGGATTTCAGTCACGAGCTGTAAAAATTAGTTAACCAATGAGGGCTCGAGATTTTTTTTGAAAGTGTATGAAGTTGAAAGTGTTCTGTGATCCACGTTTTGCACAGATTTGACCAAACTATTTTTAGGTATTGGAATAATGTAGAATTCGTGTTCTACAATGTGTTACATAGTGATATGTATTGTATCATTTGGTGTAATGCCATTAATTAATAATTCATACTAATATTATTATTTGACGAGTTTTTGTATTTTATGTAGTATTATATTATATAGCAGTATTTAATTATAATTTTAATTTTAATTGTTTTATTTTTATTATTTAATATTAATATTTAATAATATTTAATTATATTGAGATTATTTAATAATATAATAGTATTGTTATTTTGTAATAAGATAATATTTCATATTATATAATAATTATACATATTTTTTATTTAGTTGTTATATTTTTCCTTTTATTGGTTCTTTTATTTAATTATTACTTATCACTTAATCCTTATTACTTTTTAGTTATAATTTTTCTTTTATTATTTAACCTGATTATAATATTTCTCTCTATCCGTTTATATACTCTAATTTACACACATAATTTTCAGGTTCGATTTTTCATTTACTTTTCATTTACTTTTCCTCTATTATTGATTTGGTTTTGAAAATATAAAAACTTCCCTGATTTTTCTTTTCCGTGTAGATAGTAATAGTTTAATTAGTTAATGTCGTTGTCATTTAATTTTAATGAAGAATTTAAATGATGCATTTCATAAATAGAAACTAAATCTCTCTCTCTCTATATATATATTTAACATTTTAATATATTAATAATTCCGGGTTTTTTTTTCTCTTTAATATAAATCAATTATATCCCTTAATACTGGGTTTATATATTTTTTATTAAAATATTTCCCCCTAATTTTCCATTTCTATATAAACTAGGTCAGTCTATTTTATGTATCTCCTATTACCATTCCCCATATCCAGACATTACTACTCTCTCAATACCTTCTTTCTTTTCCTTCTCTTTACTTCCTATTTTGTCTTTTCACTAATTCTTTTACTCTTTCTTTATTTTCTTCCGTTTTTCTTTCTTTTTCAGTCTTTGCCTGGTTTTTAAATTCGTTTTTAAGCCAGTTTCATTTAATTCTTTTTCTTATCCATCTGATGAGTTTGAAAATCCTGCAAATTACTTTTTAATTTTTGGGTGAAATGGTCATTTCCTTGAAGTAATCTTAATTCCTATTTTATTTTATGCTCTGTTTGAATAAAACACTGAGCTCTCTATGTGAATCAGTTTTGATATTTTTATTAATAGGATTCACTTTGATTATATACCAACTGATTAGTACCATTATATATATATCGCAATCGTCAGGCCACGAGTGCTGTTTTTTTTTTTTCTCGGCTATTTATATATACGGGTCAGTGGTGCATTGTGGGTAGTCTATTTTGGCGGTTATTCTGCCGGGTTTAGGTTAAATTATTTTGCTTGTCATTATTTATTTTTATTTTTTATTTTTATTTCTTATCTTATATATTTATTTTTATTTTATTTTAATCGGTGTTTTTATTAACGTAGTAAAAATTTAGCACGTGCTCTATCTCTGATATTGAGCATTTTATCCCATAAATATAGCACTAGGGGGAAACATTGTTACAAAAGCTAGAATAACCAATCAAAAATCAAATCTTTCTATACTTCGTTTTTGATTGGTTATTCTAGCTTTTGTAACAATGTTTCCCCCTAGTGTAGGATCGTTAATTAATCTGAAACTTTTAAAACCATTTATTTTCTTTTTCAACATCATCACTTGATAAGACACAGAGTGTGTTGAAACAAAATGGCTATTTTGTAGTGATTTTATAACATACTTATGTTATCATTTTTTTTATAAAAAATAATTATATATATATATAGTGTATTTAGGCAGCAATCTTTCAATTATGCATGTTTCATTAAAAACGACAGACAAGGTAGTACGGTAAGCTTTTTATTTATTTATTTTGTTTTCGCACAAGAGCTTTCTTTTTTGGACACAAAGTGTGTAGAAACTGTCCAAATGTTCTATAATTCCGAGCGCTTTCGGCTATACATTTAGCCATTATCAAGGATGATTTTATTTTTTCTAGTTTAATTGACTGTGTGCTTTGTGTGTATGTTTTCAGCGTTATAGAGATGTTTTATTTTCCGAACACGGTTAGCACATTGTGGCCGTGTTCGTAGTTAATGTTGTTAAGTGTTGGCTTTTTCTTTTTTATTATTAGGGCTTCCATTATTTTTAATCTTTTTTTTTTTACAGTTGGATGGGGTTATTATGTTTGTGTTTCCTGCTAGTATGTTTCGAATGGAGTCTGGGTAGGTTTGTGTGGGTGTGTTTAAATCTTCAATAAAAATACAAAGGTAAAATATTTTATTGTTATATTTCTTTATTTGTCCAAACAGCTGCATGCAACGTAATTATACAATTAAAAATAGTAAATTATTAATTTATTATATGAAAATATTCCAGAATCTGTTATTTCTTTCTTGTTGACCTTAAGGGTTGTCTAAATTAAATTTATTTTTGTGTGTGTGTGTGTGTGTTCTGAGTCGCCCCATGCTAGACGCCTTTTTACCCTCGATTTGACTGGCATTTGACCGATTTTCATACTTGGCCTCCAGTTTAGGGTTACAAACTCATATCCATACAACGGGATATGTTAGCTCTATCACTGATATTGAGCACTTTCCAATGAGTACCGCGAATATATATATATATATATATATATATATATATATACAGATAGAAATATAATAAAATTATACTTTTAAGATATGCTAGATTTATCGGTTAAAATGCTCAATAGGAGAAAAATATAACAGATGGAAAAATGTAGCGTTTTGCCCAGTTTAACACAAAACTTCATTGTATAGCGTGCTTCTAACTTGTCTTCACGTCCTGATTGCTTTCTGCAAACTCGTCAGCTGTGAGAAACAGTATTTAGTAGGATATGCTCAAAGAGGTGTTACAGCTCTATGAAAATTTAAAAATGGACACCGAGGCGAGTCTGTTTCATGCTTAAACGCATGCCTGACGATTGTGTTTAAGCATGAAACAGACTGTTCGTCGCTGAGTGTTGATCTCAGTGTTATATATATTCTTTTTGTATGCCTGACATAATTGATGTGGTCCCTCTTCTCCGAAGCTGACGACATTGTGGTAGTAAAATGGCTGCTCCTTGCAAAAGACAAAAAGTAAAACTTAAAACTATGTCTGCCGAAACTTTAAACAACTTTGAATTCAATCAATTCACCTCACCCATATTCCTTGTAATGTCGACTACACTACAATGTTAGATATACATTTTATATCCAGCCAGTGTTTTCAATAAAATAATAAAATAATAATAAGAAAAGTGAACGTGTGGTGAATTGAGAAATAATTAAATAAAAATAACTAACAAGAAAATCAAAATTTCACCATCTCTAAAAATAGACGTATAATAAAAACTGGCAAGCAAACAAAACTATAGTCCGACCAACCACTCTGAAAACTTTTACAAACTTTTGTAGGATATAAGGACGTGAGCCAATGAGAAGCTAGTGGCCTTTTCAAAGCGGATTTATAGATGTGTATATAAACAGATGGAAAATCAGATTTGATAAATTAATTTTGTACAGTCTCCGGTGCTGAGGTTATCGTAATATATCCAAAGAAGAAATACGACAGTTGCACGACGAGCTGACGATTTTAGATGGCAAAACGGTCCTTGCTACATGGAAAACAAATATACCTTCCTTCGCCACCTGGTCAAGGGGCTACTACATTTGGATGCCTACACACACATACACACACGCACATATATATATATATATACAAATATAAAAATGAACATTGAAGCCAACACTCAGAGGTGAGAGGCTGTTTCATGCGGCCTGACGATTGCGTCCAGCAGGAAGCAGTCTGTCGCCTCTGAGTGTTGACTTCAATGTTCACTTTTATATTTATATTTACATACGCTCTATCTCTGATATTGAATACTTTATCCCATAATAATAGCACACCATAGAATTATATTTATTCATATATATATATATATATATATATATATATATATATATATAGCTAAATATAGGTAGATATACAAACGAGCGATCGTATACAAATTCATTTCAATACTCGATAGTCTAAGAAAAACAGTGCTCAGTTTTAAGTAACAGAGCTATTTAATATATATTAAGAAATATAAATAATAGGTTGCATTGATTGCACAACTCGGAGTTTCATGCTTTCTGCACTTGACTGACGAATACAGAATGCATCCAACTCCCAGTTTTGCAATCAATGTAGTGTATTATGTATATTTCTTATATATATATATATATATATATATATATATATATATATATATTCTTCACGGATTCTTTCTCTCCATGCGCCAATATTTTTACTTTTGGTACTTAAATTTTTTCCTTATCCTTTTGTATTATTATATTATGAAATATTACAGATTTATTTTGTATTTTTCAACAATTTGTGTATTTTCTTTAATTATTACACAAGGACGGTATATACACCGAAATCAATTTTACCGAAATATGGTGGACACGGAAGTTGTAAGATAAACAATTCATCCATAACTGATAGACATTCTAACCTCCATAGACGCACAAGCAGTAACAAAGAACCTTTGCATGGACCTCATGTCTTTCTTTCCAATGTTAATAAAAAAAAGAAACCCACGAATGTAATTGTCTGCAAGTTCCCTATCAGCATCTTTTGACCTTTAAAAATAACATGAATAATATGTTACACGATCGTATACTTATTAGATGTAAATGAATGTTTTTCTATGAATATTCAAGATATCTGTTGTTTTGAAAGCAAAAAAGTGCAAGACGTTTCTATTAACATCAAGAGTTCTATGAATAGAAACATTATAGAGATGTTGTTAAGAATAAGAAACCATTTTGATGAGGGTATAAAGAAAGTTAATAGTCCGTTTTTCATCTTTTCCTTTTAAGGCTTGTACGTATGTACGATTAAATTCTAAAGGCCATGGATCAATTACTTATCTATCCCACTCAGCTATGCTGTTAAAATATTGACGACTCATACACACACACACAAACACACAGGCATACACATACACACACACATTTTACATGTATAATATTCTGATTAGGGTATCTAGACGTGTATTTTTTGTTTTTGTTTTATTATTGTTCGCCCAATATAAGCCCCAAGAGCTACTCAAGGTAGAGGGTTATTAAACAGGGATGGTGTAAGAGAGTACAAGAGAGGAGCAAGTGTTAAATATTATAAGGATATATAGGATAGATAATGGATGAGCCTCGACTTTTGGGGATTAAGATTGTAGCATTCAGGGAAGCATCCATCAGGTTGTCCGTCCCACAATACTGGAAGATCTGGGGAAAAATACCGGAATGGAACTTCCTCTTTATCAAGAGAATACGAAGGGAATGAGGATTAATCGACTACGTGGCATGGTGTCCCGTAACTGCGAAAGTCTGAACCGGTGGAACCAAGGAAAGTAGTAATCTGCCACGAAATTAGGGATAGAGTCGAGCGACGTTTCGTCTGTGGGAAAGTGGTTGAAAGGTGGGAAATCAATTCATAGCCCACAAAGGCGTGAGGTTGATTTTGAACTCAATCAAGACTGGAAAGTGAGGATTAGGCAGCTCCGGATCACACCAGATGTGGCAAGAATACTTCATCTGGTCTTTGTAAAGTTAGAGCATGACAGGGATGTAACAGGGCGGTGGTCCTGTTTAAACTTTTAAATGCATGAAATTACAGGATGCTGGATTGATGAGACTGCTATTTGGATGAGAACTGCTGAAATTCTCAGGAAAGTGGGTTGAATAGTTGAGAAGAAAAAAAACGAAATGGGTTAAAAATTGTTTTAAAAATTATGTTTTAAAATAATAAAATGAAATCGAAAGGACAATCGAACCTAAATCTAACTGAGAGGAATTCAGTCAGATTGAGCAAAACCAAGACTACCCCCCAACTTCCTGTCGATAAGAAAGAGTCGAACTCTCTGCATTTTGCAGTGAGGGACCCGGACGAGGCGTTGCCGAGAGGCAGGGTTTC